GAACCTGCGACTTTCACCTTCTCTCCCGGTTCGCTGGTCGGTCACGACTTTCACTCTCTGGTCAGTCGCGACTCTCACTCTCTCTCCCGGTTCGCCTGCTCTGCTCTCCGGTTCGCTGGACGGTCGCGACTTTCACTCACTGGTCGGTCGCGACTTTCTCTCTCTCTCCCGGTTCGCCCGCTCTGATACCATGATGAAGGGAGACGAGAATAATTCTATTTTTATTCAGTGAATACCGAAGTCGAGAGATACAATATATAAAGCTAGGCTACGGTGAAAGATAAATGATAAATGATAAACAAGGATCTATCATAATCTATCCTAATCAGGCTAGAATCATAATTTGCTTTGTAAACTAAAATACAGTAACCGAACTGACTGAAACACATCTTATTGGGCTTGGGCTTTATCTTCCAACAATACTGTACATTTTTGTTCTGCTAGCAGATGGTGACTTTGGAATTTCATTTATTTTACTGTTGACTAATCAAGGAATGTTACTATAAATAAATTTCCTACAATAATTAAGCAGGATGTTCAGTAAGAAATCATCAAATTAAATTAGAATGAAGAATTGAGTTCATTAGGGAGTGGTTTTATGGAAATATCCTGGGACTTTTTTGCATTACTGCTACCCTCTTACATCAAGAGGTGTCAGCCATGGTGAAACAAGCTTCTGCCTGCAGTCTTTTGTGAGATTGTCTCTTAATTCCCTATTTCTACCAGCCCTAGTATCTCTATTCTCTTATAACTTTTTGATTCTGCAAGTTTGTCCCTTTTCATTCGCAATCACAGTTTCATTGTCCTTTTGGTTCTTTTCTTTGTGCAAGCACTAGATATTTGTTTTAGCGTAGCAAATTCTTGTGCTGATTATAAATGTTTGGTGTCATAATTGTTTGAGGAATCCTGGGTATCACTTTGAGTAAGTATTTTCCAAAATACTTATTTAAAGGCCAGGTAATGTTTCTTCTCAGGTGCGTTATTTATTGCTCTTTTACCATGGTTGTTACGCAGGCAGAAGTTGAGACGCCTAGAAGTTGCTTTAATTGAATACCGGGAGTCTCTTGAAGAGAGGGGAATAAAAAATTTGGAGGAAATTGAGAGAAAAGTCACACTGCACAGGAAACGGTTGCAAGCAGAGTTTGGATTATCAGATTCTGGAGAAGATGGTCAAGGAAGTAGTAAGTTTCTTCTGCGCTAACCCTAGGCTCTTTCTCCTCCCCTCTTCCCTGCCCCTTAGTTGGAGCCATAAAGCAAGGATATTTAAAATTTTAAATAATGGAGCTGTGTCCAGGTCTAACATTTGTTGGACACTAACCAGCGGTTTAAATTGACTTATTGCCACTCACTTTTACTGTGTTGCCAAGTCAGTCAGCAGCCATAGTTCCTAGCTTGAAAGTATTGCAAAAGTAATTGGGTTTTTTAACATTGAATTGAAATCAGGGTGATTAAATATGATATTTCTTGTATATTATTCAGATATATTCTTTGAAACAGCATGAACTTGTTCAAGTTTTAGCATGGTATATGCCAAATGTTCACAAAATCCTGTTAAAACTGGAAACAAAATCAACATATTATCCTCATGTGACGTAACTGTCGCTTTGTGAAATGGTGTTATTATTATGTAAGTTGAAAATTAGAGATCCAGCTTCCTGTAATTCTTAGAACTTCAAAGAGTGATAATTTTGAACTCAGGTAAAAATTGTTCAATTGCATGGAGTCTGAAATAGTGCATTGTTCTTTTACTACTTGTTCGGAATTGATTTCCAGGTTTCTAATGGATTTGAAAGTTTTGACAGAACATCTTTTTTTTGTTAAAATACTTGCAGGAAGAACATCTTCAGAGAGGAGGGACAGGAGAGATGATTCACATGATGTTTCAAGAAAACGCCACCGTAGTCGTAGCCGAAGTCATAGTCCACAACGAAGATCAGGCAGAGACAGGGAGAGGGAACATGATGCAGACAGGGACCGAGATAGACAGAGAGATAGAGGGGGTTATGATTTTGATAATGATAGAGGTAGGGATCGAGAGAAAAGTGGAAGCAGGGAGAGGGATGATCATGAAAGGGAGAGAGGCAGAGACAGGGACCGGAGGAGACGGGTGAAATAAGAGATCCCACATAATTAAAGGTGCAGATTTGTTTGTCAGACTAGACTAGCGCCGTCATGGGGAGATTCCAGCCATTTCTATACCTGAACGAAGAAGGAAAGAAATGCCGGCTGGGAAATTGTCACCATAGACAGTTTCAAAAGGATGGTTTTCCCATGGGGAGAGAATCAATCTGATTTTGGGTAGAAGCTATAATTATAGCCAGATGTATTGTCAACATTCTTGACTCTGTTATTTTGGTCAATGAATCAATTGCTTTGCTGCCTCAAATTATGTATACACAACTGGGTTTCTGCCCATGTTTCATTTGCTTCTAAGCTTCTGTGGTGTACTAATCTTGAAATTTAAACTGGAATCCTCAAGTGAAAAGAATTTAATGTTTAGGGTTCACTGTTAAAAATGTGAACTTTTCACCAAGTCAGATTATTCTGGAACTCCGAGTCCCGGAGGATCATTTCAATTTGTTTGTTGGTGGAGTGATTTGCAAGCTTAACCATTGAAATTCATAATTTGGTTTCTATTATATGACATTTTACGTGTACATGTTGAGAATTGATTGTTTTATGTACGGAATTAAGAAATTCTCGTTATTACTATCTTATTATCAAATTTGCACGGTTGCCTTTATGCACGTGTTTTGTGAATTTTGTGGATTCCCATGCGGTTCATTGGTATATCATCCTCGTCGGACGATTCATTGCGGCAGTACGACCTTTTCATTTGATCTCTTGAAGGTAATGGAACAATGGCTCTGGAATATCTTTATGGTATCCCTTTTTTTTTTTTAAGGTTCTTTTGCTGTTGCATTTTTTGGTTCGTTTTTTTTCATTGAAAAGAATCATCTACTGAAGGAGGAGGTCTCCGCATCCATCCTTCCAAAATTGCGAATCAAGCCATATAACTCTGAACTTGAAAGGGGATTTCTGAGCATGCTGAAATGAGAAGTACTTTGAGGCAGCTTCGAAAAGGATGGTCTTACACATCATATTCATGGAATTATCTATCTTATTGACATCATTTGGCAGAGAAGAAACGTAGCCCTGCAGACTCAAAAGTTGATCCCTTCTGCCTCACATAGTGATGTTATTAAGTTGAATAGTAAAAGGCTGGACCATCATTCTTCACGAGTTTAAGAAAATCAGGTCCATATATTGTCATGGAACATGCAACTGCAACAGTTCTTAGGGAAGAAAAGAGAAGCTGAAAATAAATCTCTTTTGGCCTCAAGAGCAGGTTCTCTGGAAATAATTTGCATCAAGAAACAGTTCATTTCTCTCGACGGATATTATGGTGTTCTCACAAACTGCATTGAGCAAGAAGCTTTCTCGGTCACTGAGATATGAGCTGCATCACCTTCTTCATTTTAATTATCGTTTTATTAGTTTCTGTAATTGTTCTTTATCATATTTTTTTGTATTGCATATTTTTGGTTTGTTTACTGGGTATTTGGTTCTGCACTTAGTTTGCTTGAAGGGGAATGGAGGGAAGAACAGATTTTAATGAATGATTTTAGGGGAAAAAAAATAAGTGGGATTATAAAGTTTTAATAAAAAGAATATATGAGATAACAAGTAACCACAATTGATTAAAATCTTTTAACTTTATTTTTATAATTTTTTTAATTGAACTCTTAAAAGTCTTCCTTTCGGCTCCCACCAAACATGTCAATTTAGTTTCTAAGTTGCCATTTATTTGTTTATATGTTACTAATTTCAGTCCTTAATATATGAGTTAAATAACTAAATTATAGGTATTAAAAAAATTAGTTAAGTTGGTTATTTGTCACAAATATGTGTTAGTATCTCTAAACCATCCTTTTCAATCATGTGTGCATTGAATGATCAAAATTATCTCTTGGTGGAAACCCCTAACAATTAATAAGGATATTTTGGGGAGAAAAAATATAAGAGACAATGTGAATTAATGTCTTATATTTAGAATGAAATCTAGTCCATAACTAGATTTTATATTAAAGACAGAAGTAGTATATGATTTAAATTATTAATATATCTTGATCACTTTTATCCACACAAAAAAAAAAAAAAAAGGAGGAAGAGTCTCCGTGTGAGCGTGGGAATAAAGTTAGGCCGTTAACTTATATAACTGCTCTTAGAGATGATTGATGATAGAGTTATAAAAGCCAAGAAAATATCATCGTGAGAACTGGAATAATTAGTTGGAAGAAACTGAAAAACTCAGCTGGAAAGATTCAAAGACAATTTCTAATAACTTTTCTTTTTTAACTAGAATCAACATTAAAAGAAATTTAATACTTTTTCGATCCTTAATATAAGACCTATTCAACTAATTTGATTAGATTAAGAAAATTGGATAAGTTAATTAATTATAAGAAATATGACTTTTTTTTTGCCTAAAACACCATAATCATCTTTCTTAATATCATTCCTCTCTCTTCTACTTGATTATGGTTAAGGGAATACCCATAGGGGTAATTGAGAAAAAATTGATAAATATGATAAATAAATTTATATTTAGAATCAAAATTAACTCAACTATTATATCTATATTAAGGACCGGAAGAGTATTAGCTTTGTCTAAAATTCGGAAAAAATTAGCCTTTTATGATTATATTGGCATAATCCGGCAAAAAAGGAATTGCTTAGAGCAGGCTAATGGACAATGGAGAAGGAATAGCTGTTGGGTGATTAGGACACCCTATCTTTGGAGATAAAGAGGGGCGTGAATATAAATTTATAATTATTTTCAAATCGTTGGCTTATTATGCGTTTGGGTCATGAGCTGGATATTGGGCCAGAGAGCTAATTATGACTTGGGCTTTATCAAGTGGTCCAATTGGTGAGAGTTTCGTTTGAACTTACGGTTTTCACTCCGAGCAAGACGGTTAAGCCATTGACTGTTTTCCCTCTTTGTTTTCTCTCACCCTGGTAGATCGTTGTTCATCATCGAAATAGTAGTTGATTTCCTTGTAGATTTCCATAGATTTTGCTTTCAAGTGTATAACAGTTCAATTAAGCTCACTGTTCCCGCCTAATGGCGTTTTGAAACAGAATAGGTTTGTTTGCTGAATGTCAAATTGGGGATTGTTTGTTTAAATCCTGCTGTGACTGCTATAAAAGTTGTGGTATGAAATTTAATGGCTATCTTTTTGCCGTGATAGCCTCTGTAAGTTTGTGACGGTATTTGTTTTGTTTGTGTAGCTGTATAGATTGAAACCTTGATCTGAGGAAGTTTGAGGGTAATGGAGCACGACTTGAAAAAGGTACCAAGTCCTTCGAAGGGTTTATTGAGAAGTGAAGAATTATATGAGGTATTAATATTTAATTTAGGCTCGTATGCTCTTTGCTTCCCCTCTTTGCTATATTTGTCAGAATTTCGGGATCAAAGTTTTGTGTTCTTAATATGGTAGTATATTCTGGAGACTAGTGTGTACCCACGTGAACCAGAGCCTCTAAAGGAGCTAAGGCAAGTCACTGCTAATCACCCAAGGTGACTCTTCCCTCTACTGCATGCTTTTGATTTTTATCAAACTGAATTGGGTACTGATATTGAACTTGCAGTTGATATCGAAATGAAATGAAAAACATTACCGGATAGAATTACAAATATGTGATTTTTTCAGATGAAATTCACATCTATATGAGCTTCACCAAATAATGGATTTCTTAGAAATTTCAATTGATTTCCATATGTATAACCTTGTAGCTCCTTGCTAATTGCCGGTGCTCGTCGTTTTATAAATATATGTGGTTAAGCTTTGGGTGTATGATGAGGATCAAATATCTTCAGACTCATTAATGAGTCATGTCTCCTCTAAGTGCAATGTTTATTAAAAGAAAGACAAAAATATGTGCCTGTCAGTCCGAAATTACCTTGACTAAATAACCTCAGAGATGTTATGATAATATGTCAAGTCATGGCTAATGACATGTGTTGGTTTGCATACTGGTCAAAGCTACGTGCTTAAAGAACGTTTGCATGATGACCATCTGACACTTTCTAGATCAAACTAACAATTTGGTCCTTGAAAATTTGTGGACTCATGTAGCTCTAGTCTCTAAATATTTTGGGGTATTTACTCCTAAAAGATATCTAACTTATTGTAAGCTAAATCATCCAACAAGGCTGTCTCTATGTGAAATTTTGCATGGGAAGCTCAGAACCCTTGATTAGGGCCAGAAAACAACAAATGCATCCAAACCTTTTGAGTTTGGTTTGTCTATATTTAGGAAAAGGATTCCGTGATCCCATACTCCCTTTGCCGAATGTTGAGTTTTGCTTACCTATGCCGTGATGGGGGGCCATCTAGATCTTGATGTGCCAGTCGAATCAAATAGCAGCAGTAAAATTTATCTCACTTCTCTATTTGCAGGGCTGTCATGGCTACTGCACCAGATGCTGGTCAACTAATTTCCATGCTTCTGCAGCTAGTCAATGCAAAAAAGACTATTGAAGTTGGAGTCTTCACTGGATACTCCCTTCTACTCACTGCTCTTTCAATTCCGGAGGATGGAAAGGTCATCGGGAAACCCCATTTTTCACTGGTATTGCTTAAGGTTTATTGAACTTAAAATTCATAGATTGACATAGTTCCTCACTGCAGATAACAGCAATAGACTTGAATCGCGAGTCATATGAGATTGGATTACCAATCATTAGGAAAGCTGGTGTTGAGCACAAGATAGATTTCATTGAGTCTGAAGCTCTGCCGGCTCTTGATCAGCTCTTGAAAGATGTGAGAATTATTATCTATTTTTGTCTGACTCATTCCATTTGCAACCTTGTTTATTTAATGAATTTTCCTTCAAGATTCATCAGTTTCCCCACATTTTCTCGTATATCTTATCTTCCAACTTTTGGGGTGATATTTTGTGATTGCAGCGTGCCAATGAAGGGAATTTTGACTTTGCATTTATTGATGCTGACAAAGTTAACTACTGGAATTACCATGAAAGACTAATGAAATTGGTGAAGGTTGGTGGCATAGTTGTTTATGACAACACACTCTGGGGGGGATCAGTAGCAATGAGTGATGAGGACACTGAAGAATATAGAAAACAAGGGAGGAAACTGACAATTGAATTTAACAGACTAATCGCAGCTGATCCTCGAATTCATGTTTCACTTGCTCCTTTAGGTGATGGTATCACCATCTGCAGGCGCAACTCTTAATTCTTGTGATACTGATTGGGTTGAAATTTACAGATTATGCTGTGTTACCAAAAAAATATAATAAATAAAAAGATTCCCCGGGCGGTATGGGGTTTGCAAATGTATTCTCAAATGCGTACTTGTTCCATCTTTAATTTTCAAACTGGAACCAGGGTCAGAATCGGTTGAGGGAAAATAATTGCTAATAGTAGCAATTGGATTTTTCAAAAGACTTTGATTCTTGAATGATTATTATCATACTACTTGTGAAAGGACGAAATCAAAATACGTCGGGGTGGAAGTAGGCCAGGTCTTTTTATTACGGCCAAGCTTACATAAAGCTTAGCCTAGCTTGTTTAGTAAATAGGCTAAACTCATATTTAGGCCTATTCCCAAGCTTATTTAGACAAGCAGATGAGGCCTATTTTCGTGGGACCTGATTTTCAAGCCTATAAGCCTGACTTATTTTTTAAAAAATTTGTGCTGTTATATATAATATAACAAATTATTTATAAAATTGCAAACTTTAGTTTGACCCTAAGTTTTACATTGCAATATTCCTACACAAGGTCAGTCCTTTTTTTGTTTATTTGTCATTCACCTCTACCTCTCTTGTTTTGGTCACTCAAGATGGCAATATTACTTCATTTCCTCTCTCTTGATCTGCATTGTTTGCTAAAGCATAACAATTGTTGTACATTTATTTTAGTAACATCTAAATAAAATATTATCATCTTAGTAGGAAGAGTTTGTCACAACTTATGCGAGAAAACCAAAAGAGATAAAATCTAGTTTTAATGCCACTTGCTACTTTTTGTGTTTGGTTAATTTTAGAAAGTATATCTATTTAGATAACATTTTTCTTATTCCTACTTGATTTGAAAACTATTGTTAATTTGCATTCTTTTTTTCCCCCCCTTGCTAAACTCTTATACTGGGAGTGAAAATGACTTTTAGACTATTAAGACATAATATAGGCTTTTAAATAAGTCCGAAGGATTATAAATCTTGAGGCATTATTTAAAGGGTTACATTTTAAGTAAGTTTTTAAAAAGGTTTCAATTCTTGTTAGGTTTTCTGAAGGCTCAAATTCAAGCTTTAAAAAAAAAAAAAAAGGCTTATGCCTAAGCTTAGACTTCAAATATCTATTGCATACCAAAGCTTAACATAGCATAGCTTATTTCTATCCTAAGAATTCCCCAGTGAGAACAATAAGATTTGGAGTTGGCTATCCGCTATTGATGTTTTGATCATCGTTCAAATATCAAGACGGAGTTTTAGTCTGCATACTAATGGTGTCTGCATATTATTTGTTCTACATTAATTGACAAGAAATTACTTTGTGGACTTGCACCGGGCGGCATATTATTAATGATTCAATAACAACTCCTTTCTCAGCCGAAGATGGTTCGTTTTCCCTATTTATTTATAATTATATTTAGTTAATACGAGAAAAGAGAAGTTTAAAATTATTAAATCTAATTTTGGTCTTAACATTTTGGTAAGTTTTGACAACACCATACTTACAAACAAAAACACGTTTTTATATGAATTCTTTATTTGAAATTTAGTAATTTCAAACTGATTCTCCCTTAATTATTTAATAAATTATAATATATTTGTATAATATGCATGTATACTCCGGCATGTTCCTTACCCATTTGCTTATTACTGTATCTTGTGTATAGAGTGCATAATTTAGAATTTGATACTCTACCAAAAAAAAGAAGAAAAAGAATTTGATACTCCTATTAATATAAAACTCATTTAACTAATTTAGAGAAATTAAGAAAGTTACTAAATTAATTTAAACTATTTATATTTATTATTATTTTTCAAAATAATTTGCATCACTTGTAAATTCATACATAATAACCCAAATAAATATTTTAGAAAGATCATGTAATAAATGCTATAATTAAATAATTTGATAACTTTCTTAATCACATCAAATTAATCAACTGGACCATACAGGCAGTAATATGATTTAAATTAAAAATAATAAAAATTAAAAAATCGACCAGTTTGAGAGGGTTTAACCATCAATTTTACCGACGTAGATCATCTCGTGTGTGGCTCCACATGAATGATTCATCTCTTCCCAGACTAGAAAATAGTTTTCAATCCTGATTCTTCACATTGGTTTAAATCTGTGCTTAAAAAACTATTAATCTAAAGTACCTATACATTTTGAAAGATACATGATGGCCCAAAAAGATACAAGAAATAGACAAAAATCTGGGTACAAATTTTCATCTCTCGTTATTCTTTATACATAGACACCGCACCCCCCCCCCCTTTTTCTCTTTTTTCTGTATATATATATTGTTTGCAATCCCTCTATCCATTGCCAATGAATTTAGCCCTCCATCCGCTGTTTTAGTATTGTTTCTTTGTTTTGGATGGGGGTTGTCTCCTTGAAAGCCAAAGGGTATAAAACGCAGATGTGTAGCAGTGAAAAGCAGCAAGAATTTAATAAATCGGATTCCCAGGACAAAGCATTTATAACAAACCAATGATCGGTTAAGATAAAAAGCCAAATCTCACACTAAATATTCTTCAATATATATTTGTATGTATGTATTGTTTTCCATTCAATTCCGAATGAACAATTAAACCATAGATTTAGTTTAACTGATTTAATATAGCAATTTGATACATCTAAAAAAACACTAAAAGGTTACACATCAAGGCGTTTTAGCATCCTTAGCTTAACCCACTTACATGGAGTGGCTTTTCAAAACTGAAATCCGACTCCCTAACTATTCATGAAGAATAGTGAACCATTCTTGAAAAATCGTGGTTAAATAAGCAAAATTTTCCACCAAGACAAATTTCATCCAGTATAGAAACAGTCCTGGATACAATCCTATTTCATCCAAAACTATATATAGCAAGGGACTCAAACTTCGACTATCTCACATATTAGAAGTGTAACTCAAATTCAAGCCCACCTGATCTAACCGAAAATAAAAAAGAAGGGGTTAAAAATACACTCAACTATATTGACTTGACAATATCCTATCTGCTTTACCATCTCCCAACTCTAAACAGGTCGCCTATGTTTAAGTTTCATAAACATTAGTGGAACCGAAGGATTCTTACACTTCACCAGCCACTTAATTGCTTCTGTATTTTAGAATTGTGAGCAGACTTACTACCCTTGGCTTTGTAGCAATTCCTTGATGCAAAAGACTTCTGTCCCTTGCGAGCTGATGCTATGGCCCGTCGTCTCTGCTTATTCAAACGCTTTGTGAGTTCAGCATCATTTTGCGTCATATTTTCATCGTTTTCCTCCTGTAAATCAAAAAGATAATTGTGGATTGTCAGGTTATAGTCCAACGAAAAGCGATGTCACAAAATCTGGACTGGCCAGAACTGGAAGTGATGCAGTTCTGGATTGAATTGTCTGAAACTTTAAAATGTTCAAATGAAGAATTTTAAGGAACAAATATTAATATGTAAGTAAATATTTGCAAGAACTAAACCGTAAATGATAAAAAGGAATTTGACGAAGCAAAGGAAGTTTCCATACCCCATCACTTGCATCTGGCTTCTCAGAATCACTGCTTTCAGCTGCTTCAGAGTTTTCCTCTTCGTTCTTACTTCCATTTCTCTCATCCTGATGAAAACATAGTCTAAATCTGTAAAATCTACATAAGAAACTTCACGCAAGATAGCAGAGTTATCAAATAAGATGATACAGTTAACCAGTTCACGACTATGATAAGCTAAGAGTAGATGGCCATGACAATCTAAAGTAAAACTGTACACAAATTTTAAAGGAATATCCAAGCCACCTGCCATACCCACATCCCTCCTATATCTTGGTCACAGTTCAGTGTGTCTAAAAGACATTCCCTCTAAAAGTACTTAGTTGCTCTTAAAACCTAAGTACTTTTTGTCCTCAACTTTTAGCAACGAGAGAGACATTACTTGATAAAAGAGGGATTAGCAGTGGCCACTTCTGTTGTCTTAAAATGCTACCAAACACAAATGGAAAATAGAGAGAAACTAATTCCAAATGTAGCAAAGCCATATACGTATTTACTTGACATAGCAGACAGTAGGCACATCACTCAAATCTCCTTTACAGCAACAAAAGCTAATGGTGATATTACCTGCTCCAGTTGTAAAGACTCATCACCTATGACATTTGTCTCTCTCATGTCCTCTGCCAACTCAACTACATCATCTGAATGGGTACCCATCTCTTCTTCGCCTTCAATGAACTGCACATAAAGTTTAAAAGCTATGAGACAGGATGCAAGATGAAAATTTGCAGTCTACCTATTGTAAGCCCTTTGTTGAATACCATGCTTTATCAAATAAATTTTTCATGTCATTACCGAGTTAAAAGAGAAGGGAGAGAAAAACAGAAGTATCTAGCATTTAAAATGAAGTGGTCTCCATCTTTTCCAACCCCTCCCCAGGAGGAAAAGATATTATCATACCCTCTCAAGGTCATTCTCATCCTTTTTGGTGAAGCCACTAGCAGCAAGTTCTTTATCTAGAAAACCAGAGCTTTTGTCAATAGCAGAAAAGCAAGGTCTTCCATCTTCATCAGGACCCTCATTATCATCTGTGCTTTCTTGAAAAGAAAGATTGAACCTGAAGCGCAGAAGTGGGAGGAAAACCATTGAGGTAAATTGGTACATAGCCATTAATTTGGATCTAATAAATTCCAACAGGCGTAAGGCCAAAAATATATCACATCAACTGTTCCATTAAACAAGAGACGTCATGCAAAATGCCATGTACTAACAATGAATGAAAAGAAAATAATGCAAAGCTAAAGGAGATTGTACAAAAGCAGAGATATCACTAATGCAACAAGGCAACAAAGCCAAATTCCATACCTAGAATGTTCTAAGCATAAATATATAGGGTGCAAAACTTCAACAGAACAAAATCACTCATGCTTAATTAGAATACAAATAAATAGTATCAAAACAAGCCAAAATAAAGGTTAACCATAGCTCCCAAATTAAAAGCCCTACTTGACATTAGCCAATCAAATCAATTAACGAAGAAGCATCTGCATCAGAAAAACACTTGACTCTATAGGTAACAGTGGAAAACATAGCCAGAGAAGAAGAGACTTGGATCAAGTAAAAATTATCTACAAGCACAGATGTGATATTTTACAGAAGGAGTCGTTCTATCCAACACATCAAACACTATCAATATCGTACAACACTTAAAGAAGATTTTCAGTTCTCATGAAGTT